CACTAAACGTACTGAAAGGTGAAGAGATGAGTAAGACGAAGAGCTCCGAGCACTGATGCCACAGATACTAATCCAACTTAGCGTAAATGGGACGTGGTGGAATGACCAACCACAGTTGACAGTATAAGATGGACATAGCCACTATGATGTCACTCATGGATTTTGGGCTCCATATCTTAAACCTGGTCTAGAGCAGGGGTGTCAAACTCATTTCACATCATGGGCCACATACAGCCCACTTCTTAAGTGGGTCGGACCAGTGAAAATCCCCTTTCTGTAAGTGTAAAGACATTTAACTACACACATTCGATATAAGAAAAAGAAGTGCGATGTCAATAGCACAGCTCTTTTTTTCTACATGATAAAGAAATGCTGCTGTGGTTAACGAAGATTTGTAAAATTAGAGAAAAGGTCCTGGTAGATCATTTTCCAGATTCTCCTATAGTTACAAAACTGATTTATTCACAGATATGTTTATGTGGACCCTTTTAAAAAAAAATAAAAATTTAAAAATTTAAAAAACCCAGACATTTCTATAGTCAATAGTCAAAAAAGGAACTTTTCGGTCATTTAAATGTTTATCTATTACTTAATTACTTTGTTGTAGTATTAACGGCCGTGGGTGACATGTTTATCGGTAGGAAAAGCTGTAAAACGTATGAAAATGCAGTAAAAACTTCAAAATCTATGCTCTACTTGACATTTTCTAAAGCTGTCCAGTGGGGCAGATTGAAGTCCTTACCGGCCCCCAGGTCTTATGTTTGACACCACTGGTCGAGAGGTTGTAAGATACCATCAAGATGAATTCAACAACTTTGACAGTATAGAAGACAGACACTGATTCCACATCACAACAGTGAAGCCAACACTGAAGTGCTTTGATAAATGCTTAGCCAATGAGCACGCGGTTTCACAGCCAGATCCTCGTCACATCCAAGTGAAACTGAAGCACAAATTTATTTACAAAATGCACCAACACCATAAACTTGGCGGAGGTCCAGTTGATGCATGGGTAAAGCTTCTTACTAAAGATTCAAGCAGACAGCTGCCACTGTTGGCACACCTGTCAAAGTCAGTCACATCGCCAGCTTTAACGCTTGCGATTATCAAAAGTGATAAGTCCTGAAAAAAAAAGAAAAGAATTCAAATTTAACCATAACCTGTAGGTCCTCAAGAATCCCTAAAAATGTTGAACATGCCAAACGTTTCAAATAATGAGGTCAGAGTATCCCTGTGAATGAAAAAGTCTCAAGAAGGCTTCAGAATGCCCTAAGCACTTGTTATTTTCTACTTTTAACGCTGTATTGCACCACAGCGAGAAACATCTCTCAGGTACACAACTCTGTGTGAATACAGAGCTCCACCCCTCTTGTCAAACCTTGTGTTTGTGAAGGGCAGCCAATCAGAAGAAAGGCACTGACCCTAAAAGTATACGTGCTGAAATGGCTCGTTTTAAACAGAGGATAAACTGAGATTTAGCACCCAGACCCAGATAGGATAAATAGAGATTTTTTTATTTTTTTTTAACTGTAAATCAAGTAAAGCCACTCCAGTAGAAGAATAAAAAATGAGCCCATCTATGTTTTGGTTATAATACTAGGGACTTGTTACAGCATGTGTGCACAAAGTCCAAAGTTCTAGCATTCATAAAAGAGCCATTCCCAAACTGCTGCCAAGAAAGCATGAAAGCAATATACTATGGAATGTTCGTTTTTAAATTCCACAAACTATTTCCTTCTGGGAAGCAGACTCGACCCAGGAACTACAGTTCACACCAAAAAAAAAGTAATGAATGTCTACACCAAGTTGTAAACCTTCAGGGTTAAAAAAAAAAAAAAAGAAACCAGCAGAGAAGTTGCTCTAATTTTCTAACTTCAGTCACAACAATAAGTTTAAAGCCTGGCACAAAAGATGATTTGGGGGGTTGTAGTTACTCCTTCATATCACTGTACAGCTGTATCATTTTAAGGCTTAAAGTTAAAGGCATGGCTGTGATAGACAGGTGCCCTGTAGCACTTAGCTGGGTACCTGTATCTGTAAGCTGTGGAGTTTAAGCATGCCAAGCAAGCAGCATCTATAAGTGCACTTATAGATCTGGTGTTTAAATGCACTTACACATTTAATCGAACAGTATAATGTACACAAGAGTGACAAATACGCCACGCAATCGTCTTCCCCATGAGAATCCTGCAGATCCAGAGATTTATTCTAAAAACTGTACACAGGCAAGCTGCTCATCATAGCAGGATGGAAAGAAGAATGTCCCCAACTTTTTCAGTCAATGTCTTAAGTCACGAAGATGACAGCCAAGTAATCAGGCTGAATTCTTCACATGGTACAATTTTCTTTTTTATCTTCTTTTGAAACCATCCCTCAAAGACTATTTATAAGCCACTAAGTCAACATGAATGACTGCTGGGACACCCTAAAACCTGTTTACCTCCCCTACAGGGAATACAGTTGTTTTTAATTTCTCAGCTTTTCCTGTTCTGTCAAGTGAAAAATGACTGAAGTGAAAAGCTCTTTTTTCTGAAGTCTAAAGACGACTCAGGCGTGTCACTCCACGTGTTGATTTGAATAGACCCCAACAGCTGCTTGAGTTTAGTTGCAGCTGTGTGCTAGCTGTCACACAACAAGACTGGAGTGAAGGTGGTTGTCAGAAAGGTGTAGTAGTTTAGTATTAGTCACACGCAACGTTACAAAACAACCACAGCACAGCCAAAGCTTGTCTTAGTTAACCTAACACCACAGGTGAAAACAGTGCTTCACCCTCTGTACTAGCGTGTGACGCAGAAGGGCGTGTGAGCCGTGGGTTGCCGACCTCTGATCTAGATAGTAACGGCTGCATGGTTACTATCTAGACGGATTTCTCAAGTCCATTTAACATGATCCATCCACTGCGGCTGAGAGAGAAGCTACAGGAAATGTAAGTAATCATGTCCACCATCTCATGGATTGCATACTACCTGACACACAGTCTGCAGTATCTGAGACTTTATGATTTGTTGAGGTGCCATACTGGAGCTCCACAGGGAATTGTGCTTTTTCACATTGCCTTGTACACCTCAAGCTTCTCAGTAAAACTCAATATACTATGTTATTAATAATGGGAGAGAGTGGGAGCACAGAACACTAGGATATTATTTTGTGGAGTATTCTGGGAGGAATCATCTGCTTCTGAATGTGAATAAAATCACATAGACTACTGAAGGATGAGTACGGCTATACAACTCCTGTCTATCCTGTTGATGTGGTGGAGGAGTACCTGTGCGCCCGGGTTTCCACATCAATAACAAGCTGAACTGGAAGCCCAACACAGAGGCTCTAAACAAGACAGAGAAGAGCAGCAGTGGTGGGTGCCAAAAAAGAAAAAAGAAAAAGACAACATAATATTGCAATATTCCGTGTGGAAACATTGTGTCACTACAGGCACACTAGATATACTTATTTTATTAGAGGGTTAACGTTATTGCTAACTGCAATAACATTAGCCAAGGAAACTTAAATGAACTGAACCGAAAAACTATCCAGCAATCGACTAATTGCAACTCTTGGTGACTAATGGTTGCCCAGAGTTTGAGGACATTGTGCACTCATGATCACTTGCACAGGTCGCCCGATCGGACGCAACTGTCTGCAAACAGTTGCAGTGTAACTAACTGCAGTTTTTCTGACAGATTATTGAAGGTTTATAAACAACTGCCATTTATTTTTCTATTATCAAAAGCAGATTGCATGTAATTACCAAGTAGACCCCATTCAATCGCACACTGATAGCAGACTCTCTCATGCCAACATTTATGACAGGTTTTAGTGACAATGTTCATATGCTTTACAAGCTTATTTTACAGCAAAAATAACTGAAGCGAGATAACTTTATCTTACTGGATTTTGAGGACATAATTTGCTGTGTCTTGTTACTCCCAAATCTAACTAGCTAGTTCTACTTCATCACAAAGCTCAGAGCCTTTAAAGCTGGGGTCCCCAATCCCAGTCCACGAGGGCCGGTGTCCTTGCAGGTTTCAAATCTCACCCTGGGTCAACACACCCGAATCACATGAGTTCATTACCAGGCCTCTGGAGAACTTCAAAACATGTTGAGATGCAGGGAGAGCAGGGAACAGCTGGGGGACAGAGTGTCTCGAGAGTTGGAGACAGATGGAAAGGTGAAGATGCAAGGAGTAGAGGTGGTAAAGGTGGATGAGTTGGTCAACCATCCAAAGCAACAGTCAGTGCATGAGACAGGTGCAGCAGGTGGAGACGATTGCCTGGGGTGATTTTTGAGGAGGATAGCAGTAAGAGTGAAAGGGAAGGATTAGAAGGTGGTAGTGAGACCTGCTGTGATGTGTGGTTTGAAGACTGTGGCACTGACCAAAAAAAAAGAAAAAAAGACGAAGACAAGAGGCCGAGCTGGCACTGACCATGATGGACAAGATTAGAAATTAGTATATCCGACGGACAGCTCGGATTGAGCAGTGTGAAGACAGGGAGACAAAGCTGGGCTGGAGGTCGATGCTAAAGATAGGGTGAGATGAAGGGAAATGATCCGCTGTGGCAACTCCTAAGGCCGAAAGACTATCATTATTACATCACAAGTTCAACTGCTATTTCCAAAATAAAAAAACAAATAAAACATAGCTGGTTTCTTATTCATTCCCATGGTGCACTGCGTGTCAGTTATGAAAACTTCCCCATATGGTTGCTGAGTCTCGTGAAGTTCATTACTGGATATTGATGCGCTAAATGTGACTCTAACTATGGTTATCATTTGCTGTAAACGTGTTATTTTCACTCGAAATAAGTCGGGGTTGGTGGCCAGACATGTTCACGTATAAAGGATTTTAAGACTTCGTGAAAACAGAGGGTCAAAATATTCGTGTCCGATGATGGGTGCATTAGCAAGAGCTACACTAGCAAGGCAAGCTAGAGGTGAGAAAGGCGCTAAGAGAAGTGACACTACAGCGGCAGAAAAAGCGCACTTTTGTCCTCGTGTGTCTTACCCTCCTCGCCGGTCCCGTGCACGGAACACCCGGTCAGATATCCGGGTAAAAACCCCAGCTATGGCCGGTGAGTACACGGAGTACACCAGCCTCCTCCAGGACATGGGAGCCGCCATTGCTGCAGCACTGCGAGTTTGAAAAAACTTTATAGACACTCCTCTCAGTTCACAGACACAGACGCTTTCTACACTGTGCAGTACACAAGATTGTAGTGACAGCTCAAACCGTGCCAAGCAACTTCAATTCAGTTCAATTCAGTTTTATTTGTATTGCTTCAAAGCACAACAACATTTGCCTGAAGGCGCTTTAAACTGAAAGGTAAAGACCTTACAATAATAAGACCCTACTGTAATAGGTAAGGTGCTTTTCTTTTAATTAAATAAATTAAATATCGCTGGTTTGGGATCTGTTTTTCTGTGATTTTGGGGGTGATTTTAAGTGTCTTTTAATGACCTGCAAATTATTTATGCTCCATTTTTTAAATTAACCACCAAGGCACTCTTTAAAAAAGACATATGTGACCACAGAAAAGCTTAAAGATATATTTTTGGTAACACATCTTCCTGTTCAGTTACCTGTTAAAGGTGTGCCTTGAAGATTTTCAGTCATGCAATGCATGACGTGCATTGCATACAAGTGTTTGTTCCAGCCGACTGATAAATGTGTGTGTATGTGTTTATATTTGGAAGGCTCATAGCACGTGAGAATCTTCATTACTGCTGTCTTATAACAACAATACTCGCAGCAGTACGTTTCAGTAGAATGATATGGAGAACAATCAGGACTACTATCTAACTTTACTGCTTTATTGATTTCAAAACACTTTAAATATGAGTTGATATCTTTTATGGCCTTACAGCCTATGTTTGTTCTTGGATTGTTAATGAAAATATTAGCAAGAAAGACCAGTAATCATAGCATTTGTAATTGATTCTCACTATTTTTCAGAGTAAATTTAAACCTTTTTCTCCTCTAAAGTTACAGATTTGGCTCTTAATTTAAAATGAGTCACTCTTTCAACCTTTCATTACATATAGGGCATTTGCATGCTCAAGCAACGCTGTAGGCTGTTGCTCAAGAGCATTTGCAGTAAGTCAGATGTTTCCTGACACAGACACGACACAGCGGACTGAGGGACCCCTATCTTTAAACATAAGCCAGTTTGTTGTAGGTCAGATGCTATTTATCCTTCATGCTGTTAAGAAAGAGAAGGGAGAATGCAATGACAGCCCATGTTGATGCTGAATAGCTTGAAAATATCTGACCTTAAGGTAAGGCTTTGTTTATGGAAACTCAGCAGAGAGATTTGTAACAGCACAAGGAAATAGACATAAACCTTGAAAGTAGGTTACTTGATTATTTCAGTGAAACACCTAAAAATAATTTCTACCTGTGCTTTTTTTCTTAATTTGTGCACATGTGCTTTTGTATTCTGTGTTTGTCCAAACAAACTACAGCAAATTTAATAAGTAGTAGAGTAACATTCACTGCGGTACAGTTTTAAAATACTTGAGTCTTTACTCAACCTCAGCAGATTAAATATTGAATAGATACGAGTACTTTAATTCACAGCATTATGACAACTTTTCACCGAGATACAAATTTAGGGGTGCTTTTTAAAAATAATAATAATAATAATAATTCTCCTACCTATCTGGGATTACTGAGACCTGATATGTATTAAAACTAAGAATAATATTTGCATACATTAAGATATTTTTTGTTTAAGTCTTTAACAGAAGTCTGTGCATTTTCCTGGTAATCCTGGCAATCTTCTGCATCAGTAAAAGTAACCCTGCTAAAAACAAAAAAAAAGTAAATAAGATTTTTATTACAATCCTGCTGATTTTCCTTTAGGGAAAAAGAACAAAATGTCTTCTACGGGTGTGAATATGTTTATATAACCCATATTTTCGGGGGAAATGCTGATTTCTACATAGATATCAACACTTGGATGCATTATTTTATATGGAGCTGAGGATTTTTAATGCTTTAACGGCAGATCTGAGTGTTAGATGAATGCAGAAAAAAAGAAGGGTCCTGCAGTGCATGTACAAGCATATTATGGTTAGTTATTATAGCGAGAATATGTGGAGTATGTCTCTAAAACATGAGCCATAGCTGCGGTTTTATATTGTGCCATATGTGGAGCTTTTAACTTTTTCACCTTGTCGAGAAGGGAATCCAGCAGCAGTACCAGGAAACAGCCCGGTAAAGGTCACGCTGATTATTTATTGGCGATCCGCCAAGAGCGGGCGCGAGCCCGCGCGTGTGTTCTTTTGCGTGCGTGAGCGTGCGTTCGTGTGTTTACTGGAAGAACCTCTGAACGGAGGGGGGCGGAGCTTTACGAACATCGGCTTTACTCACTGGAAACAACCTCCAGTAAACCTCCTCCCCTCCCCTCCTCCCCCAACACACACACACGGGGAGTTCTCCGGCAGATACCGCTGCCGACACATTCCTCTGCTCGGTAAGGAAACCCACACGCTCTTTTGGATACTTTTTTATGGATTTTAATGCCTGAGTTAATATTTTTTCAAGCACTACTTTCGGGTAGTTTGCGTATCTTTTCTTTTGGCGACGAGCGGCTGCGGCGCTGGGCTGAGTGTATCCACAAGGTAAGTTAAAACATTTAAAAGCGGTTCGCTGGTCATCGTCTTAAAGTAGGCAAAATGACAGAAAACTGGGGTATGGGGCACTTTAAAGCGCTGTGGTTTTATTTAGCAGCTCGGGCTCTCGCTGAAGACGGTCCTAAAAGTGTTAATGCTCGGGGGGTTCGCAGTATCATCAGTAGTGGACCGAGTTTAACGCCAGTGGCTCCGTAGCAGTTCTGAGTCGCTATGGCGCCTGCACTGTCCGGTGAAGCCGACTTCCAATTCCCGTAGAGCCTGCAGGGTATCTCGGGAAACCAGAACCAGACGGGACACCTTTTCAGTCATCGTGAAACTGGAGAACGGGGCCTCCGAGCAGGAATACAGCTATTTAGCAAAGAGAAAGGGAGGGGGTTAATAAAAGGAAAAAAATTGCGCTGGCTGGACTCTTTCACAGTGACCCCGATTCAGAAATCCCTTGTTGCGGTGCGCCCGATCGAAGACAATTGAAAGCAATCAGGATCCAGTTGCTGTCTGGCTGCACGGTGCAGCAGCACGAGTAAGCAGTGCATTCATTTAAACTAAATATAACCTGCCTGCTCGCTGCCCGCTCATGCCATATGCATTTGTTACAGTCGCCATAACTGCATTTTTATGGGGGTAAACTGAGAGCTTCAGTGTGGCACAGTGGCCATTTATTTCTCACTGCCTATGCAGGAGTGAAATTCAAATGAGGCTCTATGGCTCTATATTTGCAAGCCAAGATGAGGTTATATATAGCTGGAAGTGCTTAATCTTTGCTCACTGTCTCCCTCCAGCTGTGTATAGGTGCTCTCTACCAGCCCCTCTCTGGATGCATCAGACTCCTCTTCCCCGGGGCCCTGGACCCGGTGTGTGACCCCGCCATCCTCACCCCGCTCCCCCCCTCATCTCCCCTCTCGCTCTGCTGCCGACTCTCTTCCACCTGTCCAATCCCGCGCTCCTTTTCTGGGCCCCCTGCCTCTCGATCAGCAGGGAGAGGCAGGGGGCCATGGCATGGCCATGGTAACCTTTGCAGGACACAACCCCCTTGCCATGAGCAGCGTCACCTCTCCAGAGGGCAGGGTTCAGGGGTCGAACTTTACCCCGCATCATTTCAAGCCCTTCAGCTCGCATGAACACTACCAGCAGGTCAGTCACATCTGAGGAGTTAGCTAAACTATTACGTTTTGTGTGTGTGGTTTCTTTGGCATTCTTGGAAATTCACCATGGCTTTTTTTTTTTTTTTTTTTACCCGTTTCAGGTGATGCGTGCACTGCATAAGCTTCAGCAGAGTGGCTTTTACTGGGGAGCTGTCGGAGGCCGGGAAGCCAGCTCCCTGCTACGCTCTCAACCCCCTGGCACTTTCCTGGTCCGTGACTCCTCAGACCACCACCACTTCTTCACACTCTCTGTCCAAACAACTAAGGGAACCAAGAATCTGCGAATCCACAGTGAGGGAGGAGGCTTCTTCCTACAGCCAGACCCCCAAAATACCCAGGAGCTCCCGCAATTTGACTGTGTGCTGAAACTCATAGCGCACTACATGGGGAAGGGGCAAGATACTGAAGGGACCAAGGAACGGGCGAGTGGGGACAATCCAGGAGAGACAAAAACAAAGGCACACAATGTTTATCTAATCCATACCGGTGGGGAGAAAATCCCACTGGAATTGCGTCGACCCCTCTCGACTTGTCTCTCCAGCCTGCAGCACATGTGCAGGAGGACGCTGAACAATCAGGGCTTGGGGGCGTCTGAGCAGACTGAGCAGCTCCCGGACACACTTAGAGACTACCTGGAGGAGTATGATGCTCCTATATGACTGACAGGAACTGCGACAGGTTCTACTGCATGGACCAAGTGCCAGGATTACAGCACGGACCAGCTCTCGGTGAATGCGAGATTGTCTGTGTGGACATAAACTGACCAGACTGAGCCTTAAGTGCTAACATGAGGTCAGTTTTCCAGAATCAGCTGATCACTGATCTACTCTGGGTCACCCGCTGACCTTCTGGGGATGAGGAGTGTGATTTGGGTAACCGACGATTACCTCGTCCGTCCTGCCTTGCAAAAACACAAAAAAACAAAAACACTGACCACTCAAGTGAGTGGCAGATGAAGCCTGAGGTCAAAGGTCAACGTTTCCTATGACTGACTGAGACGCAGAGCAGTGCCTCGTAGAAGATTAACCTGACTGGTCGATATTAACGATGGCAGCGAAAGGCATGATCAATGCACCACCAGTGATATTTTGGTGGGTTTAATGTGCTTCAAAGCTGCTGCTGTCTGCGTGACATTTACAACTGGACAGACAAACGGCAGTGGGTAGAGAGAGTGGATGGAGTGGGGGGTGGGGGGTTTCAGAGAAAAGGCAAAGTCCAAACGAGGGGGGCCCTGTACAGAGAACGCACAGGATTTGTTTGTCTGAGTGTGAGTGTGAGCGTGAGTGTGAGTGTGTTTGTGTTGTGGTGGTGCACACATTTCCATTGCTGCTTCCCGCAAGTGTTGCCTCATAGAGGGGGAGTGGGACGGTCATGCACTCTAGCTCCACATATGCAAACACACACCCACACCCTCAAACACACGCACAGGTATAGACCACATGAAGGTTTTATTAGCATGAGAGTTTTGGGGGGATGGGGGAAGGTTAAAAAAATAATTACTAAGCATTTTCTTCTCCTATGTGTTCCTTGTTCCTGATCCATAACCATTTGACTGCCCAGCCCCCCCTCCCCCTGCCTTTTTGTTTCAGAGATGCATGTATGCTTTGACAGTGACAGAAAACAGGCCGCTCTTGCCGAGACAAAAGCTTTTTTACCGGGACAAAAGCCCTGGCATGGGACCAAACAAAACAGCAGACCTTATTTTTATCCCGACTGGCTGGAAAAATGTCAGCGACACTGTAAAGCTCCTTGGGGGAATGATGATAATGGTGATGATCCCAAAGATGCGGAGAGGGCGAGGATTTTAAAGCAGAGGGAGGAGTGGGATTGGGAGAAGGAAACTGAAAAGGAGGGGTAGACTTGGGGGAGAAAGGTGGGAGGAGACATACTGGTATACAGCTAAACAAAAACTCCGATAAGAGGAAATGATAGAGCACAACAGGACGCCGCTCCTGTAAATATAACTGCCCCGTGTGAGGGGGAAAAAGATTTTAGCTGAGTCTTATTTCTGTCTTAGATTATCATCTCCGGCTCATTTCTATTTGTTAAAATGCCCCAGTGTGTTTGAATATCTGTCTGCCTTCTCCTGTAACTTCAGAAAGGATTTGTATTTTTTACTTTTTTGTCTACTTTTCCATCATAACCTCTGGAGGAGGAGAAGTGAACAGTTGGACTTGTCTGAATGTTAAGGATACACTACACTTTTCCCTCAAGTGATTCTTAAAAAAGAATAGAAAACAGCCTTTTGTAAACCAGAATTCAAAACTTAGATTTGATCAAAAAAAGAAAAAAAGGAAGTGCTTTTGCTGTTTGACCCGTACCTGTGATCCATATTGGAGTGGCAGCCTTTTATGTTTTTGTCTGTTTGAGCTCACATGGCCACTCGAGGCGAGGGCGGCACACTTTTTTTTTTTGGTCAAATCTGGGTCACATCAACACCAACTCTTTTTTTTTTTTTTTTTAAACATGTGTTGCACCGGTGGACCACGTGTATGTGAATCATATTGTCTTTTATAAAGACTCTCTCGCAACAGGCTGGCCACTAGTCTGGCAATACAAGCTGTAATACCTGAAATGACAAAGCATTACAGAAATAAATGAAAAGGAACGTTGCACATATTTATATTTCTAAAATATTTCAATAATTTATATTAAAAAGCACTATTTTTACAAAAGTCAATGCACTTGCCTTGTGTCTTAATTTACTGTTTTGTTTTGTTTTTCTTCTTTTGAACTTCCACCAATTCAATATTGACTGCACACACTTTTAATTTACTCTAATAAATTGTAAAATGGTTTTTATTCCAGCAATTCCTGGCCTCACAGCAAGACTATTTACTTACAATTGGGATTTCCTAGTTAAACAAAGCAGTGTTTATTCAGTCGGCACACTTTGAAAAAGAGTGAGCAGCAGCACACGAGGAGGACGCACATTCATCACCGGGTTAAAGTTGCTCCGATCCACGCTTCTCCGTTTCTTTGCCAGAGGATTGTGGATAAATTCCACAGGGATTGGAGAACGTATAGGGAAGGATGGAAGGAAAGGATGGAGGGAGGGCACAGCTGATGTGCACATGGCACAGTAACAAAGGGTTTCCCAGAAGGAGAGGGTTTAGGTCAACGTCATGCATGCACACTTTGACACAGCAGTCACTGTGTGGAGAGCTCACTTTGGGCTGGACCTAACTGGAAAGGAATGCAGTGGGGTTTTATACATCCTGCCTGAGGGGCTGAAAGAGGATGGTGTCCTCCAGGGAGTGTGTATGGATATGTGTGTGTGCTTGAGGTCAAATAGGTGAAAGGGTCCACGTGGAGGAGATTTATGACGGTCTGTGGTTTTAGTTTTTTTGTCTTTTAGTGCGCAGCCAAAGCAGAGTGTGTGTGTGTAAGTGGTTGGTCAAGCTAGATTGCGCCTGTTGGTAAAATTAAGCAGGAGGTGAGTTTCTTCATTTCTACCCCCCCTTCATTTCCCCGAACACACACACAGATATGGTTCCCATTCCCTGCATACCTTGTGCTCTGTCTGAGGCTGGCTTCCAGGAAAGAGGCACTTTAATTGAGTTGAGTTTTTACGGCTCTTGCCTGGTGTTAATGTGTGTTTCAGAAGGAGGGAGTGTGTGAGGTAGGGGAGTCCTGAAGAGGAAATAATTGCTTAAAACAAGAAATAAAAGATGCTGAGAGAATATTAAAATCAGATAAGGAGGACCTGGGAGATTTTCCTGATTTTTTTTTTTTTTTAATGTCATACATGTGCTGTAAAAATGGTGGATCCTCATTTTAATATGGCCAAAGTTTCTACATTTAAGCCTTATGAGCTAAAATTGAAGGCTTCAGGCTCTTTTCTGCTCTCCTGTTCAAACCTTTTGTTTGAAAGGTGGCTTAAAGGAACTGCACCACAGCCCAGTGTAAGATAAACGAGGATTATTTTGAACTATGAGTCATGCAAAGCGACTCTGGTCAAGTCCAAAAGGTTAAAACCAACATTATTTTTTCTCTACTTATCTCCTCTCTCCTATGTTCAAGATGAGATTAAGCAGTTATATTTTGATCTCCCTCATATCCCTTAAAAAATAGAGGAGTAACCTCGTCTACCTCACTGGGCCAGCCGCCAGTGCTACACACATCTCTCTGGACTCGAGCCAACCTAAGACCTCTGTGGGAATCACAGGCTAATGTTTAATAACTGTTTTTACAGCTCACCTCAGTACAGGTAATTACAATGATTCAAAAACTCGGTTCCTCATTTTTTGCCTTGACACTTCCAGGAAAAAACGCATCCAGGGTTGCTGTTTGGACGCTGGTGTGCGTCTGTGCGCGAGTGCAGATGACACTATTTGTTTATGAGAGGAAAACTGAGTGGGCACTTGGAGAGAAGGATGACGTAGGTTAGGAGACAAACAGAAAATGAGTGAGCCTTCTTCCCAAAATCCAACCAGAACAATCCAGTTTTACACACAACACATTGTTCAAATAAGCCAGCTCAGCTCGCTGTGACTCATCTTATGTTCCCCATAGTTGCCTAGTGAGTGGCGCTGGAATATTTTGCCTGTGCGTCGTGAATCTCACACACTCACAGAAAGTCTTTCCACCGTGATTCATTTTTTTCGGGTTATGACTTGCTGTGTCCAGCTCAACAGTTGTCAACAGTGTCCCCGCCAAACACAACACCCGGGTCTCAAACAACTGAGCTCCATTTGGAGAACCCCCCCCCCCCAACCCAACAATCAAAACACTCGCACCAACGTTTCAGGCATTGCCTCTCATAACTTTAATGCTGTGTTTTAATGCAGCATAAGGAAGTGAGAAGCAAGTTGAGCAATAAGAGGAATACTTTTCAAAATGTAAGCCAGTTTTACTCCTGGAGCCTGATCAAAATTGAAGTGTGCTATCTGCAGCTTCTTTTGTGTTTTATGTCATTTTTGTGCTCTTGCCAAAGTCAGCCACAACACGCATAGAAGGAGGAAAGAATATTAAAAGGTTAGGACTGTACTCTACAACTAGCAAGTCACAACCATCTTCCAGGAAAGGCCCGTTGGACTGCTGATTATTTCTTCCAGTAAGGCTTTTTCTTGCCTGATCGGTGCTTATAGGAAAGGCGTTGGGGTTGGCCCATCAGTTCGAGTATTGTCACAGCCGCTTCTGATAAAGCCAGACCAGCTTCCAGGAAACCAGAGATTTACCCTCCAGCATTCCATCATTCCTTCACCATCAGTGCACACAGACAGAGACGGAGAGAAGCAGAGGGAGCAGAAGGGGTATAACAGCGATGGGGATCAATAAAAACCATATGGGAAAGAATACATGCAGTTAAATGCACAAGTGCATGTATGTGTTTTGTTTGTGTGTGCACAAAGCGCCTTCACTTGTACTCACTGACAGTGACGCATCACAAACACATCCAAACAAACACAATATTCCTCCAAGCCTACTACCAATCATCCGTGCTGTACAGTTACGCTCTCCGCAGCACTCAAAACCTCTAGTGATGATCTTTACTTTCGCATAAATCATCACTGGGTGTGTCTCTGACTGACTGGAAATACTCATATGGCTAACTGAGATTACCCCAAAGTAACTAAACTGTTTGTAAAAGGCACGTTGTATTAGGCACATTGTTTAACTTGTACTTTCTCCCCCCTCTCTCTTCATTCACAGCTGCACAAGCGTACCGGCAGAGAAGCTCAGATGCCAAATGGCTTACTGTAACAGCGTGGACTCGGACCAAACCCTCTAACACTCTCAGGTGTCACCGTGTCCCTTCAGCCAGCAAACAGGACTGCACAGTATTTGAACTTCAGACTGTAGCAGACACGCACATGAGTTCAAACATTACCATATGCACATACATATGTGGTGAGTAAGGGGTTTTTTAGGCCACGAATGAATGGCAACGCCTGTAAACTACCTACAAACTCGCTGCAGTGCTGCAATAAAATAAAAGTCCAGCATTTGCAGTTTAACTGGAAGTAAAATGTTAAAGGGAAGAGCAGAATTCTTTTTTTGTGTGTGTCATTTAAAAGCCTCGTGTTTTCATTAAGATCTGCCGACACAAGAAAGCCAAAGACACAAACGTCAAAAGGAAATGCAAACAAAGAAAAGCAAGCATGCAAGAAGGAAGGAAGATTTTAAGAAATGATTAAGGAGAAGGAAGCATTCCTGACAAAAAAAGCTCCTATGAGGCTTTTCTAAACAATCTATCAAAGCCTTCTTCTGCAGTGGAACATGTGACAGACTTGTTAGCCAGCAGTTCCTTATTTACACATCGGTTATCGAGCAACATTATCTGTAATTTGTTGTAGTTAAGGCCACTTTTAGCTTGTGTTTTTGGTCTTTACAAAATCCAGAAAGAAGTGATGCAGCTCTTTCTTTTTCCTCCTAACGATCATTTTTATTTAAAGAAATATTTAAAAAAAAAAACTTTAATTAAAAAGTCCAAGTTTAAGGACAATGATGCATTTGTTTTCCTATTAGTGTAGTAGAGCCTCTGTACATGGTCACAATGGATTTTAAATCAAATAGCTAAGGTGTAATTGAAGATTTTAGCTTTTTATAAATAGCCCCCCGTTTTCAGAGGCTCAAAAGTAACTGAATATCTGCCTGACGACCAGTTTCATGGTCAGGTAAGTCCTGTTTGCTTTATTTCCATAAAATAAGTGTTGAACAACGTCTCTCAATATGACGTCCGAATACATGTCAAAAAAAGCTGAAAAAACTAAATGAACATATCAGAAAGGTATTAAAAAACGTTAGGAGTGGTTAAATCTGTAATTTAACCATTTACTTTCGTAGATCTTTAAAACGAGTGAATGCACTGACCAGCTCAGTGACATCAAAAGGCCTGAAAAGACCAAAGAAACTACAGTGGATGATCACAGAATTATTTCCATGGTTAACAAAAATACCTTCACAACACCGAGTCAAGAACACTCTGGAGGTTCTTGGTTCTTCTTGAGGAAGCAGGCGTTGAAGTCTACAATCAGAAGAAGCTTTCCTGAATGTAAACCCAGAGAGTTTACAACAAGGTGCAAACCACTGGGTACATTTAAAAACCAGAAGGTCAGATTAGACTTTTCCAGAAAACATCTAAAAGAGCCCGAACTGCTCTGAAAACAATTCTCTGAAAGCAAGATGAACTTGTTACATATTGATGGGAAGAGAAAATTATGAAAAGATAAACAGATTATGATCTGAAGCATACCACATCATCAGTCAAACATGGTGGAGGCAATGTTATAGTACAGGTCTGTACGGCTGGAATTAATGGAATCAGGAATCAAGTCATACAGAGAGTAAAGTTTCATCTATATGTTTATCTCCTGTCTTGGTTAGTTTTCCTTTCTTTGTGATTGTACACCTCCCCCTCACCCGTGTTGTTCCTTAAACTTGTTTACAATTACCCAATAACCTTCGCCTGTACCGATACGTCCTGCCATGCACTCCTCAGTTACCAGTTTGTATTTCTTGCATTTCAAGCATTAAAGGTGAGCATTGCAGTTTGTGGGATTCCTCGTGTTCTCTCATGGTGTTATTATTGATCTCCTTGTATGTGTGACTTTTTTGGGGTTGTACTTGGATTTTTGCCTTACGCCTGCCCCTTACCGGATTTGTTTGCTCCACTTGACTGATCACTCTGTCAATGACCTTGTGTTGTTTTCTGATTAGATTTGGATTCACTTTGCC